GTAATTCTTCACCCTTATTATCCATTCCTCTTTTCTTTGTTCTCCCTGGTATAGTCTATTGGTGATACTACCACTGAGGTTTTTGTTTAACTTAGTGAGCTTTTTATCTTTGTATTCCTAAAGTTGTTCTCATATCCATTCCCATCCTCATATTCTCAATCTCTCTCTGTTTCTTTCTCTTTCTCTCTCCACTTTTTTTTTTTTTGTTGTTGTTGTTGTTGTTCTTTTCTGGAATCTATGTTTCTATACTGAATATTCCAACCCAAGTTGTCCTCATCTAGGTCTTGAATTGAAATTTTTACTTCATTCATCTGTTTATTTGTATGATCTTTGAAATCATTGATCATTAAAAAACAAAATAAAACCTAAGGATTTTAAGTTATTTGGCATTTTGATCATTTTTAGGAATTTCAGATTTTCAGAGAATTGCTAATTTTGAACAAATAATGCTGCTTTGCTTCTTTGGTTTCTGGATGTTTCTGGGTACATCTTATGTATGTCTTGGGATGGCATCCCTTCTGGTTATATGTAGGGTCTTCCGTGTGCCAGCTTTCTTTTGAGGGCTCTGCCACCCAGAGAATAAAATAATCTGCTGCAAGAATACTAGCAAAACAAATTACATAGAGAAATGCAATCAAACTAACTAAAGCCAGCAACTATACTAACAGGAACTTTAGGGAAAATAATGTCAAATAAACCATGAAGTTTAAAAATTCATGCTGGTCAAAGTAATAACAGTGAAGAATAAAATATAAAGGGAAGGGGAAGAATAAAATAAAGGGAAAAGGAAGAAGCAAGGTTAAGTAAAAGAGGAAGAAAGAAATAAAAACCAAATAAGAGAAAATGACAAAAGATAAAATCTGATTATGTTGTGAAGAAACTAAACGACTAGCTAAAGGCAAGAAATAAGAAATGAAAAGCAAAAGCATGCAAAGAATGAAATTTATGAACAATGTGAAACAATGAACAATATGAACATAGGAACAATATGAAACAATATGAAAAAATGTTTAAAAAAATAAAATGGTGATGTCTCTTGCCAGTTTCTCTAATAATGCAGTCTTCCAGATTGCAGGGTAGGGGCTTGGCTGTGGCTGAGGTCTATTACAGTCCTGTCAGCTCCCCCTGTGCATTTGAATGTTAAAGCCACTGAAGGCTAAGCCAGCCAAGTTGGTCACTTAAGAGACCTTGCCAAACCCCACAAGCTTACCTGTGGTCCAGGCAGGTTCCCACTTGACCCAGAGGCTCCAACTTTGGACCTCCAGGAGTAGAAGACATCTAAGCCACCATGAGGTGTCCTACAGCTGTGTGAGGAATGGTGGAAGCAAACAGCTCTGAGTTCTACACTAGAAGGAGCAGACCCTGCCTGTCCATCTTAGCTTTTTCAAACCCTGTGGCAGGGAGGAGATTGAATGCTCTGCTAAGCCAGACTTCAGACTCAGGTAGGAGCCTAGGAGTCCTCTCTCCACAGTAATCCTCAAGCAGTAGGGCCCTCACCATAGAATTGATTACATCTGTAGTTCTTGGAATAAACAGGATCTCAGCAACGCCCAGTGCAAACCAAGTTTCTTAGAGTGAAGTAACCACAACAGCATTCATGTACATTGCTTCCTTTGTCCCTAAAAATGTTACCAGTTAAAAGCAAGAGCTCCACTACCTACACCCTACCCCCAGGAAAGGCCATGGGCCACTGTCCCTCCACAGCCTTAGCGCTCACTTAGAATTGTCCCATGTTTACAGGTCCTCTTTGGCCCCTATCAGTTATGGTGCCTGTCTGTAACACTGAGATGCTGTAAGTTTCCATTCCTGTCGCACAAGAGGAATCACTGTTACCCTATATGAACACTGGCCTGTGAGAAGTGGGTGTTCCTCTGAAGCCAGGCCTGCTGGTTTCTTACCAGGGTCCTCTGGTTTACCAGCTTCAGCAGGGACCCTCACCCTCCACTCAGGCCTGAGCTGCATCCCCTTTCTGTTTCTCTCTGCCTTTTAGCTGCTCTTTCACTATGTTTTCAATTTCCAGTGCTCTTCCTCTGGAACATAGTCTTCACTTTTGACCTACCAATTCGTGGAGTCTCGTAACGCAAACTTCTAATCTTCTGTCTTCTTCTAGCAGCCTAATAAGATATATTTGATCCAGGTGTTTTGAAAGAAAAAGTCACTGGTACCAATAAAATCCTATATACTTTTTCAGTCTCATCACGCTTACTCACTTTTACTTTTTTTCTTCCTCCTTCTCTCTCATTTCATACTGCGGAATATGAAGACCACACAGATATTAGGCAAGCCCTCCACTGACCTCCACCCCAGGTTCTATCTTTGCATAAAATATTGCCCATTTGATGTTTTAGTTCATGCCTTCAACTTTTATAATAAACATGTACAAGACAAAGACATTTAGCATTATTGCTTTTATTTTCAGTGATGAAATTATATGTGGCATACACATATCATATATGTAAAAATGCCTAAACAGTATGACAGCGATAGCTAACATATTGTTTTAAACTAAGCTTGGTCCTAAGCAAGTATTTATTAACTGTTTTCTTATTTCTCAGATGAGAAGACTGAGGCAAAGACAGTATAAGTAACTTAAGGGAAGACAGCTGTAGGTGGTGGAGCTCTTACTTTTCATTAATAACATTTTTTAGGGGGAGAGGAAGCAATTTACATGAATGCTGGCATGGTTACTTCACACTAAGAAGCTTGGTTTGCACTGAACATTCCTGAGATCCTGTTTATTTGGGGAAGTGCAGACCAAGTTAATTCCCTGAAGCGCTCTACTTTATGATTTCTGTCATACTGTCTTATCTTTGCTCATTCTTTTTTTTCTCTTTTTTTTATAATTTTAATTTTATTGCATGTACGTTAGTGTAAAGGATATTAGGTCCTTTGGAATTGGCATTACAGACAGTTGTGAGCTGGCATGTGGGTGCTGGAAATTGAACCCGGGTCGTTTGGGAGAGCAGACAGTGCTCTTAACTGCTGAGTCATCTCTCCAGCCCTTTTTGCTCATTCTTATGTTAGTGGGGCATCATTGGTTTTGTTTCTCTGAATTCTCTTGCTAACAAGGAACTGCCACAGCAGATATCCCAAGTTCTTCCTTCTTTTCCTCCAGATCTCTTTGAAAGCTCCTAGAGGGCCAGGAGGAAAAGAAATCTATTTTCTGCTCTTCCAGATAGGGAGAACCCTTGAGTATTTATGCCTCACTTCTTAGTTTATGCCTGTTTGTAAAAGATTAAACAAACACATAGACAGTATTCTGCCAGCCTATAAAATAAAATTTTGAACCATAATTTGTAGCAACTTGCAGAGGAAAACTGACTTTACTACACAGTATGCCACACAGGAGACCTGCCTGCTCTGTCAGCCCTTTCTATTTTTCTGATTGTCTATAACAATCAGTTCCAAATGGCCAGGATATTGAACAGTTACCAACCCTCCTAACTTATGTCCCAACTACCAGTTTAGCAGTAAAGAGAGAAAAGCAAACGTGTACACTGGAGTAGTTCCTTAGGGTGCTCTGCATCTTTCAGCCAGACACAGCTTCCAAGTGCCAAAGGCCTCCTATGATGTTGTTTTTGTAGTGGTCCCATTTTCTGTTATGAGGTTTCCTCCCCATTCTTTGAGTCTCTGTCAAACACTGGCTACAGTGGCTGACTCTGTCCCTATAGAATTATTAAATGGCCTTTGTTTTTCTCTTTTTGACTGGTCTTCATTTTATTTCCATACTAAGTGGTTCCTGTTGTTTTCTGGTTTATCTTCCCCTGGCTCTCCATGAGGTCCAGTCTCCCCAAAATGTTATCTCCAGTTTAAGGTTATGCTAATCAGATAGGTGCAAATGGTAATTCACCATTGTTTGCATTTGCATTTGCCTAATTATTGGTAGATAGAATAGCTATTGAGACAGTTGTTTCCTGGGGCGCTTAAAGGGTCTATAAGAAAGCAGATGCAGCCAGGTGTGGTGGTGCACATTTGTGAACCCAACACTGGAGGCAGGAAGGTTAAATTATAAGTTTATAACTGGTCCAAAACAAATGGAAAAAAAAAAGTTACAGAATTGTGTCCACGCACATTGTGGGATTTGTGTAGTTCTTTTCTTTCAGCCATCTCAAACTGTGTGTGTGAGAGAGAGGAGAGAGAGATACTCTCCCACTGTAGCTTACCTGTTAGCCTGTTGGGATTGTTTGTTTCTGCTCAGACTGCATTTGGGTCTTCTTGCTTGGATAACAAATACTTTGCTGACTAGTCTTTCTAGCCCATTAGTAGTTATTTCTTATATTTAAATGTAATATGATACCCACTATAATGTTCTTTTTATTCTAGTAGACTTTAAAAATTTAAACAAGCTGATATTTATAAGCGATACTATATTTTAAAATACATGAGGAGATAAAACTGGAAGGATGGCTCAGTGAGCAAAGTGCTTGCCAGGAAACATGGCACACACACACATGCACACACACACACACCATCCTCGAACAATATCGGCTCCCTTTCAGATCTCAGATTAGGCACAAACCACACCCAAACCTCTGTTTTAACAGATATCCTTTATTAATTAAGTAAGAAAAGTTAAAATGGCTGCTTTCTGACCCAAGCAGAAAAACTGCAGCAAATGACATTGCAGGTGCCATTTTTAAGAAGAGGAAAAGGAAAATCTGAACTGGTTTTTTTTTTTCTCTCTCTCTTTCTCTCTATTAAACTAAACTCTAAGGCAGATGACAACTAAAGAGATGACCACTTGGGTAGCTCAGGTAAAGTGAGTACTCTGGTTTTATCCATTTGCCTGTCCTACCACAGATCACTGCTGTGGGCACTCAGCAGAATCCAAGGGTCATGAATGAGGAGGAGGAGTCCTTGATACCATAAAGTTCGAGAACACCTCATGAAAGACCATTTTCATCACTTTCAACCCAAGTGTAGAGGGCAGCTTCTACATAAAGCCTGTGCTACTCAATGACAGATCTACAGTGAATCCTACTTTGCTGATCTTTCTGCAGGCAAGAATTTGTGGATGCTTATGTGAATTATGTCTTCCAAATCTCGGTTCATGAGTGGTACACAGCCTTCTCCAGTGGCTTTCTAAAAGTGTGTGGTGGCAAAGTCCTCGAGCTCTTCCAGCCCGCAGAACTGAGGGCTATGATGGTGGGGAACAGCAACTATAACTGGGAAGAGCTAGAAGAGGTAAGCTCTGAAGGGCTTACCTTCGCAGGGTGGGTGTGCAGAGGACCTGGTCTCCTTCAGATGCACAGCACTTGAGCATGTTGGTGGAGGTCTCCTGCTTCCTGGTGATACCTCCCCAAGTGCAGGCCAATGTGTGCTGTGATGGCTCTGTAAGCTACGTGTTTGTTCTCCTTTTGGATAGACTGCTGTCTACAAGGGTGATTACTCAAGCACACATCCCACTGTGAGACTATTCTGGGAGACATTCCATGAGTTCCCACTAGAGAAGAAGAAGAAGTTTCTCTGTAAGTATTCATCACGTCAGTGGGTTGTCCATATGTTAATATGACATCATGTAGGGTGATATGTTTCATAGGTAAAGATTTAGCTTCTGAACAACTAGATAGTAAAGAAAATTAAGCTTCAATATATTTATAGCATAGTAATTAAAATGTATTATTTACAAATTATATATGTAAACAAGAAAATAAAAAGAAGTACAGTCATTTCACTGATACTTACTTTCTCTGAAAATAATAGTCACTATAGCTGGAAGCAATGGTTCAGGCTTATAGTCCCAGCTACTTGGGATGTTGAGACAGGAGGATCACCTGGGCCCAAGATCAGTTTGAGCAACATAGTGATCTGTTGTCCCATCAAGTCTAAAAAGATTGATCTGGAAAGATTGTAGAGAAGCTGAGAAGATTTGATTTATCAAGTTTTGGTGTGATATGATACACTTAACATGCAGTTTAACTATTTATAGTATACAACCAAGCGGGATTTAGTGTATACACAGTTGTAAAGCTCTCACAGAGCAGTTTTGGGGTATGTTCATCTCTCAAAAGCTCCATAGCTGTCAGCATTGCTCCTCATTTCTTCTCTTCAGCACCCCATCTTGAGTTTGTCCATTGTAGACATTTCTTGCAAATAGAACCATGCAGGATGCAGTCCTTTGTAGATGGCTGCATGGCATTTGAGTCGGAAAATAAATAGCTTTAGAGAGTAAAGTGAACTTAGTTTCTATATTCAAATCCAGCCTTTAGAAACGCTTGGATCTTCCTGTCTATAGCTGTGTGATAGGCCAATAACTTAGCTAGTGAATAGAATTTTTATCTGTGTGAAACAAACAAACAGAAAAGGCTTAAGAAGCAACTCCCTTGCTTCCTAAGAATGAGTGGATACTAACATTAATGGAATACTTAGCTCCACATTCTGCAGCTCATGTGGAGCAAGGGTGAGGAAAAAAATGGTATCTCACATAGAACCCCTCTGGCCTACGCACATAAGCTTTGGAGAAACAGTGACATGTGAGTTGATGAAGGGTTGGGCTGGCTGCCAAGTCAGTGTGGAAGTCTGTTACTTTCAGGGGAAGCCTTCCTTCTGGGCCTGGGAGTTACCTTAGAAAAAGGCATCTCCATTAGAGAGCATTAGATTTAAGGAATTTGTTGTGTTATTAATTCTGGAAGTCTGGCAGAATGGTGATATGTTTATATGCCTTAGGCGATGGCGGGTGATTTGAAGTGGCTGATGAGGTCTGGTAGACAGTGTAGTGGCAGAGAGCTTGCCTAGCACCTAAAAGGCCCTGCGTGGACACCCCAGCACCACCATCACAAAAAAAGGAGGGGAGGGGGAATGGAGAATGAGTTCATTGTAGTAATTTCTGGCAGTTCAACAGTAAAAAAACAAAAACAAAAGCAACAGCAACAAAGAGCACTCTGCAGTACTAGAACACAGAAGATAGCTGCTTCTATTGACATTGTGCAGGAGATTTTCATTATTTCTATGGAGTATCACTGTATCAGAAGAATGAACTGCCTAAAGAATATATAGGTCAGGGCTTCTGGTTTTTGAAAAGGAAGGAACAGAGCAAGTAGATCCCTAAAGGGAAACAGCAGCCTGAGTGGCTCTGTTCTCACACATCTGAGGTAAGAAGAGATCTTGAGGTCACAACCATTGTGTTCTTTGCTTGTTCTCTTTTCCTATGACAACAATCCCTTTCCTTCTTGCTTTTGTGAGGGCTCAGCTATGAGGGCATGCATTCTATAGCAGCTGTAGAGCATGTCTGAGCATCCAGCATTCTGGTACATACATGTTGGCACATAAATAACATTGTAGTTCCCATGGAAGCCACAGGGTGTCATGCCTTTCTCTGTTGCCTAGAAGATTGCATAGCCATTAATGCCATTTTCTTCTCTTCAGTGTTCCTGACAGGCAGTGACCGGATTCCCATCTATGGCATGGCCAGCCTGCGGATTGTCATCCAGTCCACTGCCACGGGGGAGGAGTACTTACCTGTGGCCCACACCTGCTACAACCTTCTTGACCTCCCTAAATATAGCAGCAAAGAGATTATGATGGCTCGGCTGACCCAGGCCCTTGACAACTATGAGGGTTTTAGTTTGGCTTGATGCTCCCCAGCTTACCCAAGATGTCCTCTCCTTCCTCAGTGGCCGCATTGCAACTGATACAAAATATCATAAGGAGTGATTTCTATTTTTTTATTGCTTAAGTGGAGTGACACTTTTGAATCCTAAACCCTGGTCAATGTGTTTCTGGGGTTCAACAATAAATAGTCTTATTGAAAAATCAGTGGTCGGGGATGAGCCAAAAATTGTCTTTAGTATGGAACATGAATTTGATTTTGTTTAGCTTTGTTCTAAACCAAGCTACCTATTGTTCCTTCATCTGTGATTGTGTTACATTCTACTGGATTAAATGGCAGTAGTTTTTCAAGCTTTTGTTTCCCCAGTATCTCTCAGCTCTACTGTCTCTGTCTCTTCACCATGCTTTGCTGTTCTTCTCTTAGCTTCCCAGTCTTCTGCAGGGATGACTTGATTGATATGTACCTTCTTGTCTGCCATGCAGAACATTTTCTTTCTTCGCAGCTTTGGAAATTCATGGCTTGTTGTAGCCCATGGCTTGTTGTAGCCCACTCCACCCCATAGATGGAACCAGCTTCTTCAGAACTCCCAATTCCAAAGAGCTGAGTATGGGTCCATTACTTGTCATAGCTCTTGAGTCTTTATGGGAGACACCCTGCTTAAAGAAAACAATCAAAGGTGTGTGTCATGGCGCCTGGATGCAAGTTCTTTATAATAAAGTTTTAATACATTTTAAAAATAAGTAAACAAACCTCTATCAGTTTAAAAACAGAAAAGAAAATAGGTCATGAAGGAATAGCAGCCTTCCATGACTGTCCATTGCCTGGGCCTCCTGAAAGACACACATAACAGCCTCAGGTTGTAGGTGGCTTGCATAGTCTTGTTAGCCACGACCCCTGGATTTACAATGACTTGGTAGACCCCCTTTACCTTGCTTTTGAAGCAAGTTGCATTTTCTTGATTCCATATTGTTCAGGAACAGAACAATTAATAAACTTTCCCCTTTTTTATTACTTTATATCTACTGCTTTCTCTTTTCTCTCTTTTGTCTCCCACTCCCCCTTTTCCTTTGCTGTCTTATTTGCTGCTTGAATCAGTTTTGCTCTTCTTCTGCTAGTGGATGCATGCTGTCTTTTTGTTTTAAACTTTGTAGGTTTTTTTTAACCTGTGTCTCTAACTGTTAAAATATGAAGATACTCTTCTTGATAGAGTTTCTGATTATCACATTTGCAATGTTTGTTTACAGTGGGATTTCAGCAGAGGAATTATCTTAAGTCAAATATGTGTGTCTCAAAAATGACATGTTTAACTGCCCATCATTGGATAAGAAAATTCTACATGATCAGAGAACTCATGTAATCCTACTTTTAAATCCATAGTAGATAGAGAAAAGACTTATTTATATACAATGAAGTGCATATAGATTGTAATGAAGCATTGAGTCTTGATGAAGGAATGTAGATTTTGCTTTTTCTTTTTGTTTTTAAAAGTTATTCTAATTGCTAAATCGGTAGTTTTTCAGTCCTTATAAAGACAGCATTTAAAAAAGACAATTATATGAAATGTTTATTTTCTATGTGTGTGCATATAGTTCAATATTATCCAATAAATTTGGTGTTTTAACTTAAAACAATTTTGTATTGTATTTGTGGGATAGACTGTGCTTTTCATGGAAGCCTAAAGTCTTACAGCCAAGGAATTGAATAACAGAAACAAAAAGGAGGTGGAGCCAAATGCTCTACAAGTGGATAGGGAAACAATGGGGAAGAATGGGAATGGGGATGGTTACTACTATTCAAAAAGCATTTCCCAGAAAGTGAGAGGAGCTAGCAAAGGCTCAAACATGGAAAATACACAGGAAGATTCTAGGAGAGTTAAAGGTTCATAATTGGAAAGAGAGTAATGACAAATAGAACTGAGCAGGAAGGAGGACCTTGGGGCCCAGATTTGGTATTCAGACTTTGTAAGTGATGCCATAGGATGTGTTCAAGAATTCAGAAATGGAATGATAAGATATAAATTTAGAAAATGTGGATGATGTATTTAGAGGAATTAGAATGGGAATTAGAGCAGAAAGGAGTTCATAGGATTGAAGGAGGTGACAGGGATGGAAAAGAGTATTTGAATAGCAGGAAAGGGGAGAGGAGGAGACATTAAAGCGAGTCAGAATTGGTCGTCTCATGCTAATGATTATTAGCCCACGTATAAAATCTGTCTGTGGAGCCCAGCAAGAAAGTGTCTTCTGTAAATTTGTAACGTAAGTATTATGTATTGTTTGGACAGAATTAATAGATGGTTTAAAAGTAATAATTGGTGAGATGGCTCAGAGGGTAAAAGCATTTGTCAGTATGCCTCACAGTCTGATTCAGTTCAAGGATCCACCTGGTAGAAGTAGAGAATCAACCCCTGAAAGTTGTCCTTTGACCTCTGCTTGTGTGCCCTGGCGTGCACATACCTATGCATATACACACAAATAAATAGATGTAATAAAAAATTAAATACAAGTAGTAAGGAGAACGGTGGCCTTTTAATACTAAAATCTATTCTGTAAACAATAACTTACAGATGTGCTAAGTTTGAGGGAAATATTTTTTCTGTATATTAAATTTAGAACACAGTCAAGTTGTTTTCTATTTTTATTGCAAAATTTATTTCTTCAGTATTTTATGTGATAGTTTTTACTTTTCATAATTTTAAGTCATTCCATTCATGCAAGTAACATTTTTCCTAATAAACTTTTATGTCACAAACTGTAATACTTCTGTACTTTTAACATTCAGATTTTCACATTTCCAAAACTGATAAAAGTAAGTTGAAACTCTTATCCTTGTAAACATTAACTCCACAGCCTCACAGATGGAACCTGTTAAAACATGCCTTTTTTATTAATAGTTCACAGCTTAAGTAACGAAAGAAGATATTTGAGAAAATTGTTTTTTAAAATCTTTTGGAGGTTAACTTTTATTTTAATCATTTTACCTTAAAAAAGAAAACAAATAGTGACAAAACCTGTATCTGGGAAACATGCACAGCACAGCAGAGGTCAACTACTTGGAACACTTCACTAGGTTAAGAAAGCAATCTTAAATTCCCACACAGACTCCTCAGATACAGCACAGCCCAGCTAATGAGTGCTTGATTTCATCCTTGGGTGTTTTTTGTTTGTTTTTCCTTTGCTTTAAAAAGTTCTTTGAGAATTTCATACATTGCATTTTGATCATGGTTTTCCCAGCTCTACTCCTCTTTTCTACCCACTTAGCTCTCCCTTCCCTTTGTTCTAAAGCCATGGGATGCAGTTTGTGTTACTCATATTCTTGGGTGCACCTGTCCTGGGAAGTGATCCCACCTTAAAAAAAATATATGACTTTTGCTATCAAAGCAGCTATCATGCCAATGAGTCCTCAGCAAGGGGTGAGAATTTTGTCTACCTCCTTACTCTATACTAGTTGTGTCTGGCTTGAGCTTGTATACAGGTCTTGGGCATGCTGTCACAATCCCTGTTAGTTTATGTTGAGCCTGCCCTATTGTGCGTGTAAAACAGTTTAATTGTTGTCATCTACCACTCCTGGCTCTTGGACTCTACCTATCAGGATGATCCCTGAACCTTGAGAGGAGGCAGGTGATATAGACATCACTCTTAGGGCCAGAGACTGAGAAATCTTTTATTTTCTGGGCAGTGATTAGTTGTGCGTCTCTAGGTAAATTACCATCTACTGCAAACAGGGTTCTCTGACGAGGGTTGAGAGATCCACCAATCAATGGGCATTGCACTGATTAGGAGTTGTTTTACTACTATCTATTTATCAGAATACTATTTCTACTATAGGCCCTATGACCTAACTAACTTCTGGTGGGGGTTTTTGGCCCCGTCAGCAGTGCCGAGTGTGGGTTCCATCTCAGAATGAGCTTATATCCAGGCAGAAGCTGGTTACTTCCATAGCATTCATGGCGCTGTTACCCCAGTGGGCGGAGCTCACCAGAACAATCATTATTGCAGCTTTCAGGGTTCACAGCTGGGTAAGAATGATGATTACTTTTCTTCTTTAATAACTTGCATAGCACCTTTCAGCACTTTGAAAGCTAGTTGGTGGAGATGAAGCTTCAGGCCAGTACAGCTTGGTTTGTCCATGTTCTACAACTCAAGATATGTGATGTTTTAGCAATGGTTCTTACTACCAACAAGTTCTGGAGGGTACCCAAGAGATTTGGCAATAGCCTATTATGTTTGGGAGAAATCAAAGGGATTCCACTGGCTAACAATTCAAAAAAGAGATATCCCGTTCATGATTCTAGGATTTTTATTTTTGGTATCTTATTGAGTGTTGTCTTCTGTTATAGGGTAACTCCATTTTATATCTCTCTCCTTATGGTCTTTTACTAGGTTTCCTCACTGAATGTATATTCCAAATGAAGTATGCATAGAAAGATTTAAAGCTAACATTCATATATAGTAGAGGAAATGTCATGTTTGGTTTTTTTAGGTCCAGGTTAACCTCACTCAGGAGGGCTGCCTCTAACTCCATCCCTTTTTGTTTATTTTATTTTGACTAGGTTTATTTTATTTTGACTATAGAGACTAGGTTTCTCTATGTAGTCCTGGCTGTCCTGGAACTCAGAGAGCTCTCTGCCTCTACCTCCCAAGTGCTGGCATTAAAGGTATGCGCCACCACTGCCTGGCTAGCTCCAAAAATTTACCTACAAATTTCATTATTTCATTTCTCTTAAAAGCTGACTAATACTTCATGGTATAAGTTGTGTGACATTTTCACTATCCGTTCAGCTGATGGACATCTAGGCTGTTTCCATATCATGCCTATTGTGAAAAAAGCAGCAGTGAATGTGAACGAGCAAGTATCTTTAGAGTAAGGTGTAGAGTCCTTCAGGTGTATGCCAAAGAGCAGTAGAGCTCTCTCTACCTCTCTTTCTCTCTTTCTTTCTGTCTTTGTAAGGAAACTCCACACTATTTCCACAGGGTTGTACCAGTGTACCCTTCTACCAGACATGATGTGTCTCTCTTTGCCCACATTCACACCAGAATTTGTTGCTTGTCTTTTTTTTTTTTTTAACTTAACAATTCTGGCTAAGGGAAAATTAAATCTAAAAATATTTTTAAAATAGTTTTAATTTGCATTTCCCTGATGGCTAAGGATATGAAACATTTTAAAAACTGTTTCTCAGTCATATATCGTTCAAGATTTGAGAGGCCAATGTTTAGTTCCATGCCCTGCTTGTTTTGTGGTTGTTTGCATATTCTAGATCCTATAGTAGATAAACATCTAGTAAAGATTTTTCTCATTCTGTATTTTGCATCTTCACTTGAGTGATGGTGTTCTTTGCTGTACAGATGCTTGT